CCCCAAAACCCCAAAACCCCAAAACCCCAAAACCCCAAAACCCCAAAACCCCAAAACCCCGATTGGTCGATCGCATCCTGAATTTTAATTAATTATCATTGATGAAATTTTTAAGCTCAATGGATTCTAGTGAAAATCGTTTAAAATTAGCATAAGACAGCTGATTCAGAGCTGCAGAGCGTAAAATTATAAAATACGCCTATTTTAGTTAGACATAGAGCTTTCTGAAAGAAACCATAAAATTTTAGGAATTATACAGCTGAAAATCTATCATAAACAACTATTTTCATCAATTCTGTCTTAGTGTGAAATATCTGTTCGTCTCATCTCAGATATGAATGGTAGATATCCATTGGGTCATAGGATAGTGATGAGGTGGTGCGTCCTTGGACATATAGATAACCTTCAGGAGCTTTCATAGAGTCTAGTAAAACTCTAAAGTCTATTCTTTGTCTCAAAACCATTGATAATTAAAATTTTAACATTCCTGAGCTTATAACCAAGCTCTACCCTCCAAAAATTCATTTGGATTTTATAAAAACTGTTTGAAAGAGGGGACATGGCAGATCACCGCTCTAAATGAATGAGAAGAGGCAAGAATCTACTCAGTTAAAGTCTGAACTAGTGAAACATAAGATATCCAGAAATTATGACAAAAAGATTTTCATCAACAAAGTAATGAAGGTTCTTGAGATACTCAAGGAAAAATATTGATGAACTTTTGAGAAGAAGTGTGCAAGTCTCTTCAAGATCAGCGAAGAACAATGATGATGTAGTATCCATCCATGACGACACCCAACCTTGATACCTCCTTGTAGGAGAAGACTTAGGAGGATTTCATCATAAATTTCTGAGTTCTTGATGAATTTTAGATTTTCTCAGAATGTTCATGACAACATTCCTCTTTGTATTATCTAAATATTGGCGGACATCTTTGTCAAAAGGGCGGGTATTGTTTGGGACCCATCTGGTGAAAGACCTGGCCTGACTAACCCACAAGGATTGCAATTTCCAACCACAAAATATATGCGACATCAATAAATTAGATGAGAAGGCTTACTTTCCTCTTCAAGATGAAGGAATGTTAATGTTATTAGAAAAATCTTGATGAAAAGTAAATTTTAACTAATTTCACTAACTAGCAAGCGGTGAACAAATCAAGAAAAACTTGGATATCTTCGCACTAGGAAGAGATGAAGACTTCCTGATCTTGGTAGAGTATGCCTCATAAAGCTAGAATTGAAATCTGAGTAAAAATTGGAAGGATAGATTGCATCTCATCATTTTTGATGTAGTCTGTAACAAGTGTTATATCTTGTTCTTTCACATTCAAAAAAGCACCCTAGAGCTTAGGAAAGCTTGGAGAGCAGTATTTGTTTATGGCCTAACTATGAATGAGACTGTTTTGTTTATTTTCCTATTGACAAGTGCTAATTTCAAAAAATGACAAAATCACTCTTATAAATTATGAAATCGAGTAAACTCAAATAGAATCTATAATCCAAAGTATCCAGATCGACAACCGAATCAGTCTTCTTCAGTTTTTAGCAAGGATACTATAAATTAAGAACTTGCATCATCAGCTATAAACTGAAGAATCAGGGAAATACCTGTATCTGATTCCTTTCCGATGCTAGGCTGAAGTAAGCAATATTCATCAAGTTTCCAATAATCAAAACTTTCATAAAAACTGTAAGGTTCTCTAATATTTTTCCTAAAAGATGGAGGGTCTTCTGGAATAAATCAATAGATCTCCAGCAGTTGCTACATTCTTTGCATCTAAACAGGAGCATTTTTAGCTCATACATGCTAATACGGCTGGATATGACCCTGACATTGTTGAATACGACCAGATAAGCAATTTTTCACATTCAAAGGAGCTCTTTTAAAAGAACTTATCAAAATATTTAGCTTTACCAAAACCCTAAAATCTTCCAGTGAGTAATATTTAGTAGAAAATTGCTAGCTTCATCTAAAAATACATCTATGAGCATAACTAGATACGTCTCAGTCTTGACATAATTAGGTTTTAAGCATAAAATATAAAGTATCGAAGTTCGGTTTAGAAGAACCCTTACTTTCTTCACAATAAATTACCAATTTTGGCATTAGAGATAGAGACTTTAGTCAAGGATTTGCTTAGGCTCAAGGAGCCGATGGCTTACTTAGCTAACCAGAACCTCTGAAAATAACATGGACTTATGAGAATTTACACTTTTAGCTAATTTTCATGCAAGATTCAGATATATATCACAGCTATGAATGGAGGATTTGCTCTAGAGAGCAACTTAGATGGGCAAGAAAATTAAATGTAGCTATTTTAGAGCACTCTCTCTAATATTGCATCTAGGAGATCAACAAGCTAGCAATCAAGAGATGTGCCAGTTAGAGTATTCAGAGGCGGCTTGAGTTTAGTTAAATGAGGCCTTTTTAAGTTTGGACTCTAAGAATTTAGTATTGAGTATTTTATGAAGACTTAGACTCAAAGTCACGCCAATCTTTCATTCTCTGATAACTTTGACCCCCAATTTAGAAAGATAATGAATTGAGTGGGATGTGATGACTAAATTTTGAAATTTCTGACAAATACTAGCTATCTTAATAAATGGATAATTGATGAATTTGGAGATATCTGAAAGAGGTTGATAAGGATGTCGATTTATTACTACAGTCTTCATTTAGTATGCTATTTTTAATCAGCTCTTTCTAACAAATAAATGACATAACACAGATGTCACTATTATTAACAATTTTCTTAGCTTATTCCCTTACTAAGCACTCTCATTCCCTACCGATATAAAATCGTGCATAAGATGGTCAACCATTGGTGAACAGCCGAATTGAAACCTAAGTTTCATATAAAACCCAGATCTTAAGCCCTAACAAATTTATAAAATTATAAGGTTTGATTTAAATTTATAAAATTATGGGGTTTTGGGGTTTTGGGGTTTTGGGGTTTTGGGGTTTTGGGG